TTGAGGCCCACCGTGCATGAGACGTTCATGCTTATCGCGACATAATAACTTAGTAAATTCGCTATCTGCTGGTAACACTATCGGATGTTTCTGATCAGTGTCGATGGTAGTGGCATTGTTCAAACGGCCGCCTACCCGTATCAACCCATGTTCGTCTATAAATGAATTTAATCGAAATAATTTACTTCGAGAATTAACGACGCCGTTTTTTTTTAAGTCATGCAATTCGTTCGAAAAATTAATTACTTGCACTAACTTTATCAGCCTTATTTTTGCTTGCTCTAATTCCTCTACACTTAACGGACCGATATACTTCACATTCTTTAATAATGTATTATTCTTGAAACGTAGACAAAATGCGGTCACTCGTACACATTTAGTAAATGACGAAAAACGGTGTAATATGGTTTCTGATCGTATAGATGCACACATGATATACGTATTTTTTTCCTTTTTCTCGGATATTTTAATATCTGGAATATGTTCCTTTTCTATCGAGAGTTCTTGTGACTGTGGCCATTCTTGTTCGTCTCAACGTATCCACTCTGGACCGGTCCACCATAATACATTTTCCGTCAATTTCGATGGGCAGCAACCACGAGATATTACATCCGCAGGATTTTCCTTTGAACTGATATGACGCCATTCAGAACAAGAAGTTTTATCTTGAATTTCACTCACCCTATTACCAACAAAGACTTTCCAATTTGCAGCAGGTGACGAAATCCAAGCAAGTACGATGGTCGAATCTGTCCAAAAATATCTCCGTTTTATATTTAATTGCAATTTGGGTATTATCTTGGCTGCCAATCTACTTAATAATAATGCGGCGCATAACTCTAATCTCGGTATTGATAAAGTCTTTATTGGTGCTACCTTGGACTTGGCGCATATTAAACTGGTGGAATATGACCCCGTGCCGGTTGCGTATCGAACGTACAAACAACAACCGTAGGCTACTTCGCTAGCGTCTGAAAACCCATGAATTTCTATATGCCCTACACTTAAATCACCTAATATTTTCCGTGATATCGATAAGTTATTTAATGCTGGTAATAAATTGCGGTATTTTAACCACTCTTCACGCACACCAATCGGTATGGGTTCATCCCAGTTCACCTTTTCTCGCCATAGGGCTTGTAACATTATTTTTGCGCGTATGACCACCGGTCCTACCAAACCTAACGGGTCAAAAATCGACGCTATGTCGGATAATATGTCACGTTTACTGATGGCCGTAGTCGAGCCCACTCCCGGCGACATCTTAAACCGTAACTTATCAGTATGAGCGTCCCAATACAACCCTAAAATTTTCTTTGTCGAACCACCGATATCATAATAATTTGACAATTCTATATCCTCGTCAGGTAAAATAGATTTAAGCAAATCTATATCGTTAGATGACCACTTTCTTAATTTCATGCCGGCGCTATTCATTACGTCAATGAGTTGTCTTATCAATGTAGCCGCCTCATCTTTCGTTTCCGCCCCACTTAAAAAATCATCCATATAAAAATCGCGAATGATAGCTGCTGCAGCTTTAGGGTATTCCATACTATTGGTTTCAGCTAATTTCTTCAGACAGGCTGTTGCTATGTATGAAGCGGGTACCGTACCGTAAGTAACTGTATTTAAACGATAGGTTTGCACGAGTGCCTCCGGCATAGTTCGCCATAGTATGCGTTGCCAATCGCGATGTTCCTCTGCTACTACTATTTGCCTATACATCTTGGCTATATCGGCTGTTACCACGTAATTGTGTGTTCGAAATCGAGCCAATATATATATAATTTCGTTTTGTATCGCTGGTCCTTTCATCAATACATCATTCAAACTCGCACCTGTCTGTGTCTTACACGAAGCGTCAAATACAACACGTAGTTTTGTCGAAGTACTGTCTTCTTTTCTTACTGCGTGGTGTGGTAAGTAACACATTTTACCTTCAACTTCGGTGTCTTCATTTACTAGTTCCATATGACCCAACCTTTCATATTCGTCCATAAAACTAATGTATTCTGTTTTTAAATCCTGATTGCCTTTAAATTTTCTCTCTATTACTAACAAACGTCGCTTCGCTATTTCGTATGACTTCCCCAGACGTTTCGCATTCTCACGGAACGGTAGCTTCACTACGAAACGTCCGTCAATTTTACTTCGGGTCACCGTTTTATTAAAATGGTCCTCGCAAGCGCGTTCTTCCGGTGTATATGTGGCTTCGTTCCCCATATCTTCGACTATCCAAAACTGTTGTAATAAATGTTCTAATGTCATCACACCATGTGTCGCAAGAAATGCCGCACTCGATGGCATCATATTTGCGTGACTATTTATTAATACCGGCCCTGCCGCCACCCAACCGAACACTGTTTCCTGATATAAAGGGCCAGTCGGGTTTGGTCGCTTTTGACCGCCACGTAAAATATCATAAAAATGCGCGGCGCCTATTAATACGTCGATTTTTTGTGGCTCATTGAATGACGGGTCTGCTAACTTAATGTTATTAGGAATGTTATATTTTGTTTTGACATTATGGTTCGGTAAGTGTCCCGTAATTTTCGGTACCACTACCATTTGCAAATTTAACGTGTAATCATTTATTCGTGATTTTATTTTTGCCCATACGGACGATGTTGCGCGTTGAGACGTTTCACCAATACCACTAATAACATGCTCGATTTTATTCTTTTTTAAATGCAATGTCTGGACTAGCTCTTCGGTTATAAAATTTGTCTGAGAGCCGGAGTCCAGCAGTACTCTACACGGCAATGTATTTCCGTCGACATTTACGGCGAGCACTACTGCTGTAGATAATAATACGTGTTCTATTGCCACGGACGCGTGTGCGTTCACCGACGTAATTACTGTCGTATCAGTTGCGGCCGTGTTGCTACTTGACCCCACTGCGGTTGTTGTCGATAGTTTCTGATATTCAGTTCCGATATGTAACATAGTATTGTGAGCTTTGGCACATTTAAAACAATGTCGAGCAAAACATTTTCTTTTTTCGTGACGACGTAAACAAATCTTACACAAACCGAGCTCGTACGTTTTCTTTATACGATTGTCTACTGACATTGCAACGAACGTTGGACATTTATATATAGTATGCGATTGATTACATATAAAGCATTTTATTTCTGCGGTTACCGCTAGTGACATACTGTTTCTTTCGAACTTATTTTTTCGGTTCGTGTTTTTATATTCAAACACTGTATTTACGCTCTTATTCATATTTTTTGCCGATTCGACCGCTTCTAATACGCGAAAACGTGAGTCTAAGAATTCGATTAGGTCGTCGACCTTTGCTAGCTCGTCAATTGGGGTTTTTATCTCCCATTCGCTTATCGTATCCGTATCCAATTTTGAGCACACTACGTGTAGTAAAAGTGGTCCCCATTCGCTGGGCCGCTGATTTAATGTCTTTAACGCTGCTAAATGCCCCCGTAGATTATCGGAAAATTGTCGTAAACTAGACGATGATTTCCCTTTTACTGTGGGCAAGTCACAAATTGCTCTGACATGAGTTTGTACCAATAATTTCTTATTATTATATCTGGATATTAAATTACTCCATGCACTTAGATAATTATTTGCCGTGGTTTCTATATTTTTGATACACTCGGCGGCACCTTCTGATAACGATGACCGTAGGTAAAAGAATTTTTGTATCGTAGATATGCTATCATTATTATGGATTAACGCGGTGTATATGTCGTAGAATGATGCCCATTCGGCATATACACCTGAAAATATAGGAACGTTTAATGCGGCCAGTTTTACCATCGGGTTGACTTCCTTCATTTTCCTTTCACTATCTTCATCTCGGTTGTATTCGACCGTCCCGGATATGTTCTCCGTTCGATGGATTCTTCTATTTGCTTCTGTGATTGCTTTGTAATAAAGTTCTTCGAATTCTTCTCTATATTGATAATGTTCGTTGATATTTTCTCCTTCTCCGATTTCCAATTCTATTTCAGCTTGTATTCGATTAAACTCTTGCCAAACTTCTTCTACTTTTTCTTTTCGAATGTGAATTTGATTGACATCATTATCTGGTGTCGTAACGTAATTCCAAAATCTAGTCAATATACCTTTAAGCTGACCGCGTCGTGCTACGAAATTACTCATATTTGTTAATACGTCGTCGTCGATCACGTCGTATAATTATAACAAACGTGAAGCTTAAGCCGCGGTATTGGGTGCGAAACGTTTATCTATTTTATTTCGATAACGGCGATTATTCTCTTCGCCGACACCTAATGTAAAGTAATATTACTCGTGCTTATCGTAAGTGATAAACCTATAATAACGATAGTTGTATCAGCGCCCCAAATCATTATTACAAAATATTCTTTACACCGCAAGACTCTGGGCTCGGATGACCTCGAAACCCCCGACCTCAATGCTTACACTAACGCCGTATTTTAGGAAGGGAAAATACCAATACTAATAAATATAAAGGAAATTATGAGACTCTCTTACCTTGCTTCTGCTGAAGTATGTCTCACCGCTGAGTTGCCTGGTGACTTGTGTACCTCGCAAATAATACACCGCGTGTGCTGTGGTACTCCTAGATGCACTCACCCTAGTCGTGTCGCAAACCAACACTCGCCACCAACGGAACGCGTAATACGATCAGGCTAAAAACTCGAGGCCTGTTATTCACGCGCTCATGTACATCTTTTACCCGTTTACGCTAGCTCATCCGGTTCGAGGGACCAAATGTT